CCCGGCTCTCGGCACGCCATTTCGTCCGACCGCTGCTGGGAAATCGCCGACTTTCAGCGCGGCGGTGGGGCGTCTTTTCAGCGGCGCCGCCGACCGTTAGCCAAATAGGCAGCCGGTATGTATGGCGCGATATCGGCACCCGGCCGAAGCTGCCGGCTTAGCGGCGCTGCCCACCGGCCGCGGCGCGGACCCGGCCAGAGACCAACCACACTGCTGGGGATCGGACCCGACCAGAGGCCAACACCGCTGGGGCTCGGACCCGGCCAGAGACCAACACTGCCGCGGCTCGGACCCGGGCGGAGGCCAACACCGCCGCGGCGCGGACCCGGGCGGAGGCCAACACCGCTGGAGCTCGGACCCGGCAGAGGCCAACACTGCCGCGGCTCGGACCCGGGCGGAGGCCAACACCGCTGGGGCTCGGACCCGACCAGAGGCCAACACCGCTGGGGCTCGGACCCACCAGAGACCAACACCGCTGGGGCTCGGACCCACCAGAGACCAACACCGCTGGGGCTCGGACCCACCAGAGACCAACACCGCTGGGGCTCGGACCCACCAGAGACCAACACCGCTGGGGCTCGGACCCACCAGAGACCAACACCGCTGGGGCTCGGACCCACCAGAGACCAACACCGCTGGGGCTCGGACCCACCAGAGACCAACACCGCTGGGGCTCGGACCCACCAGAGACCAACACCGCTGGGGCTCGGACCCACCAGAGACCAACACCGCTGGGGCTCGGACCCACCAGAGACCAACACCGCTGGGGCTCGGACCCACCAGAGACCAACACCGCTGGGGCTCGGACCCACCAGAGACCAACACCGCTGGGGCTCGGACCCACCAGAGACCAACACCGCTGGGGCTCGGACCCACCAGAGACCAACACCGCTGGGGCTCGGACCCACCAGAGACCAACACCGCTGGGGCTCGGACCCACCAGAGACCAACACCGCTGGGGCTCGGACCCACCAGAGACCAACACCGCTGGGGCTCGGACCCACCAGAGACCAACACCGCTGGGGCTCGGACCCACCAGAGACCAACACCGCTGGGGCTCGGACCCACCAGAGACCAACACCGCTGGGGCTCGGACCCACCAGACCAACACCGCACAGTGGGCCGATATGCCATTCTAGCGCGACGGGGCCTGAATCTTCGAACGGAACCCTTGGTTTTTCGCGAGTAATTCGCGTAAAAAGCGGCCGATCGCAACGAAACTTTCAGTGCCCTCACGATAACTACTTTTACAGTTAACCTGAAATTTTCATGACCCTGACCTTAATGATCTTTGACCTGTGACCTTCTTTTGAGACCATGTTTGACCGGAATCGCGATTCAGCGTATGTCGGCTCGCATTAGCCGCGGGTTTGCAGTCTTTTCTTGGTTTAAAGCGTTCAAACATGGGATATTATGTTGCTCCCATGCATTAGGGTGGGTGTCAAGGTCAGGTCAGGTAAGGTCATTGACTTTTAATGACCTTGGTTCACTTTTTCGAGTTTCACATGTTTCTATGCTAGTTTTTGGAGCTGAATTCGAATCTAGCAACCATTTGAACATTTACTATGTAGCTTTGGTGCCTTCGTAGGGGAAGTTGGGGCAATGCCGGAGTTGGGGCAAAGCCGAAATTCGAGATATTTCGAAAACCGTAAGACATGAATGCCACCTGTCAGTGATGCTCTGAAGCTTAAGCGACTACAATTATCGCATGTTTGTTACGAGTCGTCATTCGGAATGCTTCGGCTGTGAGGGCGCCAAGAGCGTTTTCAAGGTACGCGTTCCTTGTACTACATGCGCCTTTGAAGCTGCATTTCTTACTCATTATGCTACTGTTTGTCTGGCCAATTCGGTCAAGTAATCTTCAGCATGTCTTTGCATAAGTGTGCTGCCTATTTGAAATTTATACGGCACGTTGAAGTTATGGGCCTGCAAATGAAAGTATGGCTGGCTGGGGTAATGCCGAAAACGTGCAATTACGCACGTTAAAGCACGCTACGTGGACTTTACTGCTGTAGAATAGCAACGCGAATTTTTAGTCACACAAATTACACTTTCAACCGACACAACAGCGGACAGCCTGTTACCTATAAGGAATTATTTACCTGGCATTTTCTTATTATATCACACACAGATAACAGTAGTACTGTTATTATCTTTACTGTTATTAACATTATCTTATTAACATTATCTATTAACATTATCTTTACTGTACTGTTATTAACAGTACTACTGTTATCTGTGTATCACACAATTATAACTTCCAGTGTGCACCAAGCGTCCTCAAGCTCTTAAAACGCGTGTCAGCTTTGATAAATTCTGGATAAAGTTTGAGATAAAGTGGCAAAACATCAATGTCGGCATTCCCCGTAGATCATTTCTCCCATTTTCGGCTTTCCCCGCAGTCCGGGGCAACGCCGAAAAAGTCACTTCTGTTTGTGCGCTTAATGGTATGCGAATTCATCAAATGCGCTTGGTATGTTTGAAAGGCAAAAGACTGGCCTCTCGAATGACGCCAACAAGAATAGCTTATGTTGTCTACCTTGCGTGCTACGGGCGTCAGAAAAAAGTATTCGGCGTTCCCCCAACTTCCCCTTACATGTTACAAAGCTGTCAGAGGCGGTTGCCACCTACTGCAAATACCCGGCAAAACCCTTACTGGTTGACCTGACCTGACCCGACCTGGCCTAAATGTATGAAGACATCATCTATGATCGTAAATAACATTATATTCGTGATCAGCACCCAAAAAACCCATAGCAGCCACCCTTTACGACGTTCTAACAGGTCCCGATTTTCCCGACTTTTGGGTCATTGACCTGACCTGGAAGGTCAACCGATCACCTAGGACCTTACAATTGGGTATCATCAGCTTCCTCTTGTCACGGGCAACACGCTCGTCTTTTCCGCGAAGCTCTAGCTCGATCAGGGGCGAAACGGCGGGGGGGGGGGGGGGTTCAACGGACCCCTTCTATACGTTCGCGGCTGGAAAAACACCACTAGGGGCGAGGGTTAAGCCAAATGTGAGGGCTTATTTCAGAAAGACCGCTAAAAGAGCAATTGAATGCACTTTTCCGCGACGATGTAGCTCTATTGGTCCCCGAGGTAAGGGCCGGTTTTCGAGAAATGTTGATATATGCAACATTTTACCTTTGATGACCTCTGGTGACGTGATCTTTGACCTGACCTAGAAATGACTAATTACTCCATCTGGAATTTCGGGCGCTCTTTCGAATGCCACTTACTACGTGTCGCTATGTGGCCCAAGAGCCGAGTTAGAAGGGGAGTGTTCAATCAACATCTCCCGGCCCGGCGCGTTTGACGCCGAGCACCGGTCCGGCGCGGGTTGATGTTTGGCTGCTACATCCAAAGTCGCAAAAAGTCGCAAAAAATGACTGTTGGATCTTGTAGTGCAATGAATCATTGACATGTAGCGAGATTTTCGAAGCGGTACTCCGCGGTACTTTTTTTAAAAGTCTATTTGTGTGTGACATCAATTATGTGAAATTATATTTTCGTCTTTAAATCTTTGCGGTGCCAATACATCATAACCAAGTAAGAGTTCGCCATTTTCATGTGGTTAGGTGTGTTCTGCAGACCCGGAGCTATCGTTTGATGTATATAAATGTGGAATTCCTCCTCAAATTGTGGTTGGTTTCGTGGATCAAAGATACGTTGTCGAAGAGTGCGGGGGACGAGTTCGGTCCAAACGATTCCGAAGTTCGTGTTTAAGCTGAGTTTTCGCCATGAAATAGCAATTGTGTTGGAAAACAAAGACCACAGCAATGTAGTATGATCATTTTTGAACAAATTGGTATAGGTTTCATTGCACATCCAAAAAGTTCGATTTTTTACCCATGTCGTGCTAGACCTGGCGATCGGCCCAGTGTGCACCGCTGGGGCTCGGACCCACCAGAGACCAACACCGCTGGGGCTCGGACCCACCAGAGACCAACACCGCTGGGGCTCGGACCCACCAGAGACCAACACCGCTGGGGTTCGGACCCACCAGAGACCAACACCGCTGGGGCTCGGACCCACCAGAGACCAACACCGCTGGGGCTCGGACCCACCAGAGACCAACACCGCTGGGGCTCGGACCCACCAGAGACCAACACCGCTGGGGCTCGGACCCACCAGAGACCAACACCGCTGGGGCTCGGACCCACCAGAGACCAACACCGCTGGGGCTCGGACCCACCAGAGACCAACACCGCTGGGGCTCGGACCCACCAGAGACCAACACCGCTGGGGCTCGGACCCACCAGAGACCAACACCGCTGGGGCTCGGACCCACCAGAGACCAACACCGCTGGGGCTCGGACCCACCAGAGACCAACACCGCTGGGGCTCGGACCCACCAGAGACCAACACCGCTGGGGCTCGGACCCACCAGAGACCAACACCGCTGGGGCTCGGACCCACCAGAGACCAACACTGCTGGGGCTCGGACCCACCAGAGACCAACACCGCTGGGGCTCGGACCCACCAGAGACCAACACTGCCGCGGTGGAGCTCACAGAGTCCGGCGGCCCAGGGAGAGCCGGGGGCAGAGAAGGGGCCGGGGAGGGCCGCTCAGGGAGGCCGCACGAACAGCCCAGTGACAGCAGCGGCGCGGCGGGCGCCGCGCGGACCCGGCCCGCCCCCGCCGGCCGACACGTCTTGTTTAACAGTCCGGACAAGGAGGCCGGCTGAACCCCGCGCCGCTCAATAGGCCCCGTCGACGGACCAACGCCGATTCATTGACGCGATGGATTCGACGAATCCAGCGACGCCAATTCGCCGGGTGTTCGATGACCCCTGCGGCCCCCGCGACCCCACCACCCTAACTCAGCCCACGACTGGCTCGCCTCTCAGCCCACGATCGCCCTGTCCTCAGCCCACGGCCATCCCTAGTCCGCTCCCCACAGCAGTCCCGTGTTCACACCTGCCCTGTCCCTATCCCCATACCTCCCCAGTCCCTATACCTCCCTACGCTCTCCCCGTCCCCCTCCGCCGCTCACCGGCTCGAAGACGACGGCGTCGGCGCTGTAGCTGGCGCCTGCCACCACGCCGGCGCCGCCCACCAGGCCGCTGGCCAGGTTGTCGATGATGTTGCCGTACAGGTTGGGCAGCACCAGCACATCGAACTGGTGCGGGTTGGACACCATCTGCATCGTGCAGTTGTCCACGATCATATTGCTGAACTCGATCTCCGGGTACAGCTCAGAGATCTGACGGCGGGAGCGGCATCCAGTCAGCACTCGATCTCCGGGTACAGCTCCGAGATCTGACGGCGGGGGCAGCATCCAGTCAGCGGACAAAACACTCGATCTCCGGGTACAGCTCCGAGATCTGACGGCGGGGGCAGCATCCAGTCAGCGGACAAAACACTCGATCTCCGGGTACAGCTCAGAGATCTGACGGCGGGAGCGGCATCCAGTCAGCACTCGATCTCCGGGTACAGCTCAGAGATCTGACGGCGGGGACAGCATCCAGTCAGCGGACAAAAACAAACAGCTAACTGCATTCGCTGCGCAGGCACAAAAGAGGTAAAACACTCAGCGTAGTATTATCAGCCATGTGAGCCAATCCCAACTATCACCTTAAATTAGAGAAGCTATGGGAGTAACCACCCATTAACCCGCGCCCGGCTGGGGGTCCTGGATTTCCACGCCCTGCTGGGGGGGGGGGGGGGTGTTTGAACACCCCCCCCTTCTAACTCGGCTCCTGGGCCACGTAGCGATACGCGGAAAGCGGCGTTCGAAAGAGCGTAAAAAATAATGAGGAAATCACTTCGGTCAATTTTTTGGTCAGGTCAAAGGTCAGGTCACCAGAGGTCATTGAAGGCAAAATTTCGCCGATTTCCAGGTCGAATGTCAAAAATTTCCAAGAAGCCAACGCATAACTCGGGAACCAATAGAGCTACAGCGCCGCGGAAAAGCGCATTCGATAGCCCTATTAACGCCCTTTCTGAGTAATTCTCTCAGATTTGACCTAACGTCATTGGTTTTGCCTGCAGGGGGCAAAAACTGCAAAAATAGCCGATTTTTTCGAAAACAGTTTTCCTGCAATAACTTCTGACCCAAGCCTTGTACGAGCTTACTTTTACCGGCATCGTGTTCCTCTCGTCAAGACGCATCGATTGAACTATAACTTGACCTTGAAAGGTCAACTTGAAAATTTGACCTCAGGTCAAGGTCATGACCTGACCGGAAAGGGTCATGTTGCATATCAGTCGATCCGTATCGTCGAGCTGAACACATCTAAGGCGTTTTCATCGCTCTAGCATGCCTCTATCAAAAGCTATTCCCAAAAAACTGTTAGATACCATTCGTGACCTAAGATGACCTCAGGGCATAAGCAGGGGTCACGGACACCATTTTCATGTTCAGTGTGTCTAAAACACTTGTAATTCAGTGTTTGGGAGTGTTTATAATGTCTTTCGTCCAAAAGAGGCGCATTTCAATTTTCTCCCATTGACTTATAATGGGGAGGTCGCAAAATTGACCTGACCTTAGGTCATCGATATCAAAATTCTGAGATAAACATTTTGTACATGCTATTGCTCTTAGCAATCGCTGAAAGTTTCAAAGCGATCGGTCACTCGGTGTAGCTATGACAGACATTGAAAGTTTTTATGAGGTGAGGTCACTTCAAGTGACCTGGTGACCTGACCTTGAATGACCTTGGTCTGAAATTTTCACAACATGTGTAGAATTGATGTATGATAAGGTGTACCAAAAACGGCGGCGCTCCGCGCCGCCGTTTTTGAGATATTCGCGAAAAACCACAGGGGGGGGGGGGTGTTCAAACACCCCCCCCAGCAGGGCGCGGGTTAAGCCAATCGCACAGCACGCGGCGCCCCAGTGATGTTCCTGGGTTACGGGCGAGCAGCTGGTATGGTCGGTCGGTCGGCCCGAATCGCCCCGAGCACACGGCCCGAGCTGTTTATTTCACGGCCGATTTCGGCCCGTTGGCGTTATCGCTCAGCGCAAAAGGTCCACCTTCCGACCAGCAATCAGTTTGTCTCGGATGATTTACAGTCCGAAGCAGAGCCCGCGGTCACTTTTCACCACTGTATTGTGTGGGAGTATCGCCTGTCTGCTCAGGGTTGTGTAGGAGCGGCCTCAGCGGACGCCGGGAGCTGACCATTCAGCCTGGCCGCTGGACCGCGCCGGCCGACTTCCTCCCCAAAGACGGCGGGACGGCCGCCGATTTACGGACGCGCTAAACCAGCGCACAGCGTCGGACACCGACGAGCAGCGGCGGCACCAACCACGCTCAGCTCTAAATCGGAACTATCTGATCGCACCAAAATTGGGCGTATCAACAGAGGTTCAACCAAACGTGTCCCTTGATTCGCTGCAGAATTGGTGATACACGCCACCACTGGGAGACTAGCAGGTACAGTGTAGGACTCAGCTAGATGAACTGGCGCCCGAGTCATGACAAAAGTGCAGCACGATGAATGCCTAACAAACGTTCGATATAACAAACATGTGTACGTGGGAGCTTTGACTCACAAGTACAACCATCGCGGGACAAACACTCGACCGGCCACAGTGCCTGAGCACCATCCCCGCGGGCCGACTCTGCGGCACGCAGGGCTCACCTCCCTTCAGCTTCTACCCACCGAGGTCAAAGCAGAGGTGCCTTCCCCCTCCCCTCCAGAGGCACGCGGCTCCGCGCACGCCCTCCGCAGAGCGCTCCTCCCCACCAAGGTCAGAGGTCCCCCCCCCCCCTGAGACGCGCGCGGCTCACCTCCTGGCAGCAGCGCAGGAACAGGCCGTCACCCAGCTTCATGATGTTGGCCTTGTGCACAGCCGTGACGCGCTTTCTGCCGAACTTGGTGGCGTAGTCGAAGGCGAACTTGGCGATCCGGCGGCTCTTTTCTGCCGTGGTGATCTTCAGCGACTCGACCACGCCCTGCGCCGCGGGGAGAGGGGAGGGAGAGGGGAGGGGTGGTCAGTGGGGGACCGGTGAGACCGCCCGGCCCGCCAGCGGACGGTGGGAGGGAGGGGGTAGCGCCGGTGGCGGGCCTCTCAGCCAGTCCGGGCGCGTGCCACGTCTGCTGAGAGGGCGGCCCACAATCAGACGGCGGGAGCGGCCGGCCGGACGGTCCGATCGCAGCCACTGGTCGGTTCAGTGGCGGACACGGACTATTCTGTTGTTCAGCGGTCTGGGACTATAATTCTGTCGTTCAGTAACGGCCGACCCAGTGCCCACTATGCCGAGCACGGTTCACCTCCATAGTATGATGGCAATCCGGACTACCACCAGGGTACCCGTCTTTACATCCCCCCAATATCTACTCTAGGGCCGAGTGCTAACCTTGACGCTCTCGTGCTCGAGGGCCGAGTACTCGCCCTCGGTCTGCTCTCGAATGACCACGAAGTCGATGTTCTTGTGCCGGGTCGGGATGCCGGGGATGCTCTTTACGTGCACCACGTTGGCGTACAGGTCCAGCGCGTCCCTGTCACAGAAAACAAACACAAACTCAGCACCCCATCAGATCGCGAGTTTGGGATTTGAGGCAATTGAACCTCGCCAGTCACCGGCGCCCTACCCCATGCGTCAATGATGCATAATTGTGAACTCAGGGCTACAATAAGAAATCAACAGCCCAGCGGTGGATATCAATTATGTCAAAGCTCCCATTTGACATCCATTCACTAAAGGGTGCGGGGTCAACAACAAAAGTGAAACACAGTCTGAGGCTCACGCATCACAAAAAGCAAAAGCAATATGATTTCAAAAAATACATTTAGCGGCGTAGCACACTGGTGTGTAACATTGCGCGTGTAAGTCCTCGCGCTGCCCGCCCGCCCGATTTCCACCTAACGGGCCGCCGTTGGCCACGGGCGGCTGGGCGACCGCAGCGCCGCCTACTGGCCTTGTTCAAAGCCAACAGGGAGCCGAGGCACTCACTGGTAATTTTGTGATAAAAATTAACTTCTGCTAATATGGCCACTAACCTGAGTTTCATGGTGAGCGGTTTGAGCTCTGTAACCCACCTGAGTTTCATGTTGAGCGTCTTAAGCTCTGTCACTCACCTGAGTTTCATGTTGAGCGTCTTGAGCTCTGTTACCCACCTGAGTTTCATGTTGAGCGTCTTAAGCTCTGTCACCCACCTGAGTTTCATGTTGAGCGTCTTGAGCTCTGTTACCCACCTGAGTTTCATGTTGAGCGTCTTAAGCTCTGTCACCCACCTGAGTTTCATGTTGAGCGTCTTAAGCTCTGTCACCCACCTGAGTTTCATGTTGAGCGGTTTGAGCTCTGTCACTCACCTGAGTTTCATGTTGAGCGTTTTGAGCTCGGCGCTGCGCGAGTAGTCGGGGCTCTGCAGGATGCCCTTCAGACAGGAGCCGTTCCTCCGGATCGACTTTGTGACGTCGGAGAGCGGCGACGACAGCGAGTAGTGCACCTCCGACAGAAAGTACGTCTCAAAGTCGACCGGCACGCCGGCCGCCTGCCGGCAGGAGCGCACGCGGTACCGTCAGCGCCCGGTAGCAATGAGGGGGAGGGTTCGCTTTACCGTCCCGGTACTGGACTGATGGCTGCCACAAGGATATGTAACACGACCTCCGGCCGCGCCACTTGCAATAATTGGATGTGTGTGGGGAGAGAGAGCAGCCAAAATGAGCACAAATACGGTTGTTTCATGTCAGCTGACCTTCCAGTGGTTACGATGGGGCACCTGAACTACACTGTAATTATTATAGTGAGGGCCTTATACCGCTATATCCATATGTAACCCTTCTCGTCATGGATGCAGCCCACCCGCCCCTCCCCGTCCCCGTGCCGCCGGCCGGCAGTACGTCCCGTCGGTCCGGGGGCGGACACCCACCTTGAACACCTCCGAGATGACATTGCACAGCTCCGGACCCACGCCGTCACCGGGGATCAGCGTGCACGTGAGGTTCCCCTCCGGCTTGGAGATGGGCCGCTCCTGCGCCGACGACACACACGGAGTCAGATACTGCCGTCTGGCACCGGAGGATGGGGGACGGCACACGGACACTGGGGGACGGCACAGCAACAATGAGGGACGGCACACGGGATTCTGAAGGACGGGGGGACGGCACACGGGATTCTGAGGGACGTGGGTGGACACCGGGCCGGGGAGGGGAGGCACGCGGCACTGGTGGAATGCCAAAGGCCGGGGCTGGAAGGTTGCCAACAGCCACCGATGCTCCGGAATCCCTTTGAGCGGGGGTGGCCTGAGCTGAGACCGCCAGCGTCTCAATCCGAAGAGGGGAGGGAGGGGGAGACAGTTCATCCGTCCTACTCCTGACAGAGGGACAGCGGGCCCCTGATGACAGGGGGAACAGTACACCCGTCCGACAGAGGGCACAGCGGGCCCGTCAGGGACGGGGGGGGGGGCGTTCCACGGCCATCTGACGGTGGTGGGGTAGCATTATTTTGATGACATTCAGGACAGCGTCAGTAAAAAACACGCACATTGCCAGGGTATGCTAGTAACACCGACTTATGCCGTGATTGAGGTTATACAAACATGTTTCTGTTGATAGCTCCAAATAACCACTGACTCAGAGACAAGGGAGGGAGGTGAGAGGGAGAGAGGGAGAGAGGGAGAGAGGGAGAGAGGGAGAGAGGGAGAGAGGGATAGGGAGAGAGGGAGAGAGGGATAGGGAGAGAGGGAGAGAGGGAGAGAGGGATAGTGAGAGGGATAGGGAGAGGATTGGGAGAGAGGGTTAGGGAGAGAGGGAGGGGGAGTCACAGACGTTTCACACACTTACCAACAGAAGCTATGATTAGTATTATGGACATGACCGGTGTAAAATACCAGCGTGTTTAGAATTTAGATGCATGCTGACAATTTGAGCTTGGCACGCTATCATAGCGAGAACTGGCGGAAACAAGCGACAGAAACAGACTGGCTGCAGGTACAGGCGAGCAGGTTCCACAGCCGGTGATAAAAGCCCAGTGGAAAAGGTGGTACACTAGGGGTAGCAGCTGCAAGCGGCAAATAACAACCAGGGTCCACAACTCCACACAGCGCTGAGCAGCATACATTAATCATACTTGGATAAGCATACTTGAAAGTTGGAACTGGATGGACCATTGCTACATACCCACAAAATCGAGACAAAGCAAAGTTATGAGTCTTGAATAGAATGCAAGACTGGTCATACACAAGTGTCAGAATATTCCAAGTGCAATATGTACCCCTCCCCCCCCCCCCTCAGGATGGACCAAGGGGTGGCCAGCCTCATACGGGGTGTCCCAAAAGCTTGTTGACGGGTAGCAGGCGTACCTTTGCGTCGGTATCACTAGAGCAGCTTGAAATTCAGTGCTGGAATTTTGCATGGGTACAACCAAGGTACAACAACCGGCCTCGCACAATAGCATCGTTTTCAAATGCATTTGGCTCTGTATGGGGTCACAGAGAGGCTCCATCCTCGACCATGGGTCAGGACCAGGAGTGATGATAGGCAAAAGTTTAAAATGCAGAATCTCTTCCAAAAGTAGCACTCAGGTATCCCAGCGAATGCTTTGGTATGGGAAATGACGAGTGCTCAAGAGGTGACAAAATTACACAAGGTGTCTCAGACAGAGATGGTAGACACCTTTTTCTACGAGATAATGCAAAAAGCCTTACGCTTCCAATTTGTTTGGAAATGAGATCGTTTTAGAAAGGAAAATGGTGCTTGAGATGTCGGCGGCAGTCTTCATGAAGAAGTTGGCGAGAGCGAATACCCCAAAAATGCTCATTAATGGTGCCGATGCCAGCTGTCTGCTTTCTGTGAGACAGAGATGTCGCCGGAGAGCTCCTCCAACCTAAATCTGAGCCAAATCGAGGAAAGTTTTATTGCAAGAGCTCGAAATCCAGGAACTTGTATCAGTGTCCGTAGGTAACTGGCGAAGGGACGAAAATCAGCGTGGGCGAACATATTTTTTGAAGAGTCTGGTCTTCAGCAAGCCAAATCGTTTATATAGTAGAGGATTTAGTGATGTGTAGTGTACCTATGTGTAAGCATATGAATATATGATTTTTGGCTGGTTCTTATATGCTATATTGCCATAGGAAATCCTTCAACAAACTTTTGAGACACCTTGTTATCAGCCACTCAGTACAGGTGTAGAGTACAGGATGTATAGGCACATCCCAAACCCCAAACTGGTGGGCAGATGCAGAATTCACATATTAACTCAGAAATGCATCACCATCTAGCTAAAGAGGGACTACCAAGAGGGACTAGCAGGAACAGCAGCTTCGAGTTCAGAAACAACGGTGAAAAGCCACCACTGATGCACCCCTGCCAGACACTCCTAGCATACAGGTTGAGAAGGTCAGGCATCACCTGTGGTATTTACTTACAGTCTCAACCTGTGATGTTGGGCCACATAAAAAGGAAAATACAGACAGTGTCACATTCTGTTGACAGCACAGTATTTTTCCTAGATGGACAAGTTAACAAACATACACCTAATCATGTAGACTAGAGCTTAAGAACCATGCAGTATCTATTGCACTAATTGAAAAAGCATTATATATTTCAATCTTCCACATCTACAAAAAGAGTATTGGTAACAATTATACCCACTAGCATATACCAATACCTATAATGCCCAATATATAGCTCCAATGTTTGAAGACTGATTACCAGTGACTCCACAGTGCTTGTTATGAAAGACATGATCCCTGATATTTGATAGGGCAGTTTTGAGTAGCTAGTCAACAAAATTTGAATGTTAAACAATAAACACAATGTATCCATCAAAGATTGACACTGTCCTTCTCACTCAACTGACTTCAACTTGCTGCAGCTGCGCCTATAAGCTGTGGAGCATTCCCATCAGAAATATACGATTTATTACTGGTGTGACCCAAATCCATACACTCAACCCTGTGTATTCAATGCTCTACCAACTAGACCATGGGACAGGCAGACAATAACATTTCAGCAGTTAATAAAGAGCAATGTATCAAAACAATAAATATCCTTGCTATTGACCTGAGCATCAGAATATCCATTTTCATCATTCCCAAAACCCCAGCCTGAGGTCAGCTTACAATGGTGGATGGTCGAGCAACATCACTATGTATTGGCTGAGCCTGGTTCAGCGCTGCTGCTGCTGGCCGGCACAGCTGAAACACACCCAGAAAGTAGCATCAGCACCACTGTCAAAAGCATAACACAGTCACAGGTTCTATGACTTGAACTATTTCAAAATTCAGGACAAGATAAAATGGAACATTACACATTTTGCTATTTATTTATTAGGACCAAGCACCAATTTTCTTTCAGTGTGATCCCCAATTAAGAAGCAAATCACATGTTATCCTCTGGTCTCCTGATTTCATCTGATAAGCATTCATGGCACAAAAGCACCAATACAATACCTATCAAAATTCAAAAGTAACATCAAATTGCTAGTGGCAAAGCAGTGCAGTGCCGAAGGCAGTGCCTTAGGGGAAATTACAGGCAATTGTATGTCAAATATTTGCATAAAATCTACCTTTGAAAATTGAGTCGGACTTTAAGTAAATATATACCCAAATGTTATCCTGGGTGGTGTTTCACCAGTGACAGCAGCACGAGCGCTAGTACACGTTGACGTTTCAAACTGAGTTTCCATGGAGACGTCAACAAGCCTATTCCTCCAACACTACCAGAAGTGTGATGTCAGCTCGCAAATTGGAATAGCAGCGTGCTCCTATCACTGGTGAAACACCACCCTAGATAAACCAATTCAACCCGTTTCACCAGCAGCACAACATCTTAAACCATCCGTCTACAATTAATGGCATACATATGTTAAACTCTGAGACACAGCACATATTGCTGATAAATTACATGGTTCAAAGCACTCATGTAATAATAAAATAGAATATTCAAAAGCGAAAGACAGTTGAGACGATGCCGGCGCATGCCATCTTCCCTTCCTGGGACTTACAAAGTAAAGATGAATGACATCAAGCGGCTATAATATGAAGAAATTACACATTCAAAATAATTAAAATAGTCTAGTCAAAATGAGGGCGAAAATAATTGCCTACCTGGGCCAAACCCCTTCCAACTCTTGATGCAGCCAACGCCATTTTTCGCCTACGAGAAAATTCAAGTACTATTTCATTTAACAATGGGATAGAGCCATGATAGAGCCATTGGAACATTATTTAGGTTTTTCCTAATTATTTAAATCTTTTAAAATTGTAAAAATTTCCGTAAAAAATAAACTAACGCACCTAAATCATATATTATTTGAATTGCTTGAGTAATAGATGATACAGTTATGGCTAGAGTGGAGGTATTAAAGTCATATTAAAGTGCACGAATTTTTGCTGATCTACATATTGATATCCATAGAAAGAAGCCTTGATAGAAATAAGATATCAGACCCAGGTCCCAGACTCTTGAGCACGGGGTTGAGCCCAGGCCCAGGGTAGGTAGGTATATTTGAGTTACAGATGAGCCTATGCCGTATGCGCGTGTTTCGTTTATCTTTATAACACTAAGGGTAGGCGGAGACCTGAGACTAGCCTAGCCTACAGTGCAGCAGTAGCGGCGGAACACCTTCAATTAGGGGGGGGGGGTGCACTGCCGACTTTTGGTCCCATTCTTTCCATGCAACGCCCATAGAGCTAATGTTAAAATGCCAAAATCAAAGGGGGGCACGGTGCCCCGGTGCCCTCCCCGTTCCGCCGCCTATGCAGTGCAGTGCAAAATCATAGGCGGCGGAACGGGGGGGGGGCACCGGGGCACCATGCCCCCCTTGATTTTGGGGAATATTTGTTTCTGGTCCCTAAAAAGCTGTTTCTGGCACCTAATTGCTGATCAGCCCCAAAATGCTTATTCGACCCTAATATCTGAATCTGGCACCTAATTGCTTCCACACAGCCTAAAGTTGCCAGATCGTCTAGTTGAACTCCGTATTTGCTGTTTGCTGATACAGCACCAAAACCAAAACATCCAGCACCTATTTTATTCCACGTTTGCCTACCTAATTCGCGTAATCTTCCTGATTTTATGTATCCTAACAAACATGAACGTTGCATTCGGTGATGTCAAGTGCCATTTTTGCCAGTGGAGATAATGATTAATGCCATTTCTAGCCAAAAGAGAATCACTAGCCAGCTATGGTGCAGCATAGCAAGACGCTCTTATACCAGCCCGCTATGTAGAGATTATTGCACCCTCAGCCATTTTAACGTGAAAAGCTTGGATCCGTCACTTCCAGCCAGTCTCTCAGGTCATAAACTGGAGTAAAGCAAAATGTCAACTCTGAACAGACATGCCACGCAACCGGCCCTCTTTTCAATATTATTAGCTTTCTGCAATCATCGTCTGACTCCATCTCGATCAAACGCAGCATCCGGTTTCTACAGGGGCGTTTGACTGACCGGCCACACAATAACCAAAAACAAAATCAAAGCTTCATGCACACATAAGTAAGAAACGGATGAAAAAGGCACAACCACGGCACAACTCTGCGCGGCAAACAACGGACAATGTCCCACGCAAGATCCCGCGTTTCTTCAGCGGCCTTGAACGGAATGAAAACATTACATTTCTTTTTTGGAGCTATTTGATGACGTCAAAAAATACTGTTGCATCCACGTCTGTATTTGTCTAGGCTTTAGACACTGGGCTTATGTAGTTCACGGCATGGCCACGTGGTAAACAACAACAACTTTGTGCAAGGACAGCTCTGAAAACACAACAAACGAAAGCTTGTGACGTAAGCACTAATTAGCTGCAACACAACAGTAGGCACTAATTAGCTGCAATACTATAACACCTCCCTTCCAGCTGTTTCCAGCGCTTACAAGTTCAGGCGATCGGGTGGACGCCGGTTACGCGCCGGACGAGAGTTCGCCACGGGGCTGGGTAGTCCAGCGAGCTGGTGTCCGCTCGCGGGCGCCGGAGCGATCTCTGGCTCAGCGGCCGGAGGAAGCGTCACTGGCTGTGCTGTAGTTGATGACGCTGGAGGCGCTGCCGGTTGAGCCGGAAGCGTTTCTGGCAGAGTGACAGGCGCTGATCGGGGCGCTGCAGGTCCGGGCTCAGCTGCAGGCGGCTGGAAGAGGTAGTCGCTTTGAGAACGTCCTTCCTCCCTGAACAGTCCGGTATCACCAGACGTGTATCGCGGCCGGATGTGATCCACATGTCGGCGGAACTTGCGGCCATCTTGGAGAAGAACCGTACAGGTCGGTCCGCATGTCTCGAGAACCGTGCCTGGGAGCCATCTGTACTCGGAGGCTGTTACTTCAGTGATGTAGACTGGATCTCCAGTTCGGAAGGCTCGGATGACAGTGCCCGTTTCGACACTACTGCGGCTTCTCCTTTCCTCCAACGGATGCAGCCGGTTGAGATGCGTCCGAGGAGCACGACGGAAAAGCATCTCGGCCGGAGCTTTCCCTGTTGTCGTGTGCGGTGTGTTCCTGTACTGGAACAGCCATCTTTGGAGCTTCGTGAGCAGCGGTGCTGGTTTCTGCTTCTTGATGCCGTTCTTCACCAGCTTGACCATGCTCTCGGCTTGGCCATTTGATGCCGGGTGCAGCGGTGGAGTGAAGACGTGGCGGATCTGATTGGCGCTCATGAACTCGCCGAACTCCTTGCTGGTGAAGCAGCCACCGTTGTCACTCACGATCACTTCTGGAAGACCGTGCGTGGCAAACGTCATGCGGAGATGATCGATGGTTGTTTGAGCGCTGACGTTGTTGGTGATCCAGACGTCAGGCCACTTGCTGTATGCGTCTACTATGATGAGGAGCATCTTCCCTTCTACAGGACCAGCATAGTCCACGTGGACTCGCTGCCACGGAGCGTCTGGGTACTGCCATGGTTGGGATGCCACCTTCGGCGCAGCTGGTTGATTCAGCTGGCAGGCATCACAGACTTTGGTCACATCTCCAATGTCGGTATCCATTCCGGGCCACCAGATCTGGCCACGGGCTCGGCGCTTCATGGTGCAGATGCCGGGATGTCCTTCATGGAGCAGTCTCAGGACCTTCTGACGGCATGCGGGGGGCACAACGACACGACATCCCCAGAGCAAACACTCGTTTTGTATGCTCAGCTCGGTTTGGCGACCGTGGTACGGCAGGAGGGCTGGCGTTACAGCTGAAGCCTTGGGCCATCCATACCGGGTGTAGTGGAGCACTTCTGAGAGAGTCGGGTCTCGTCGCGTCCACTCTCGAACTGCTTCAACTGTTACCAGGGCATCGTCAGCTTCGAGCATGTGGATGACTTCCATGAGCGGTGTCACTGACGTTTCTGGCACAGTTTCCGGTCTTGGGAGACGGCTGAGAGCGTCTGCTGCGGCATGTTGAGCTGCGTTGCCAGGCGTGTGCTCGAGATGGTACTGGTAGGCATCCAGAGTCACCTTCCATCTCACCATGCGGGGCGGAACAGCGTCTGGCAAGTTTTTGGTCTTGCCAAGCAGTCCCAGTAGAGGCTTGTGATCCGTTCTCAGCGTGAACGATCGACCGTAGAGGAAGCTGTGGAATCGCTTCACCGCGAATACCAGGGCGAGACCTTCCCGGTCGAGCTGGCTGTACTTCTTCTCTGCTTCATTGAGTGTGCGGGAAGCGAAGGCGACTGGGCGTTCTCCACTTGGAGTCATTTGTGAGAGGACGGCGCCCAGGCCGTATGAGCTGGCGTCTGCTGAGACGATGACGGGGGCTGTTCCGTCGAAGTGAGCGAGGCATGGTGCCTCACAGAGGAGTGTCTTCGTGGCGTTGAAGGCGTTCTCCTCAGCCGTTCGCCACCGCCACTCTGCATCTTTTTTCAACAGGGCATACAGTGGGGCCGCGACTGCACTCAGCTTCGGGCAGAAGCGACTGAAGTGGTTGATGAGACCGAGATACGTCCTCAGCTGTCCGACGTTTTCAGGTGCTGGGGCGTCTCTCACGGCTGCGATCTTCTGATCTGTTGGATGCAGACCTTCTTTGTCGATTCTCAGTCCGAGGTAGGAGACTTCCGGCAGGAACCAACGACACTTCTTTGCATTGATTCTCAGGTTTTCTCGGTCCAGGCGTTTTAGCACTTCCTCCAGGTTGGCCAGATGTGCAGCATCGTTGGGGCCTGTGACGCAGATGTCGTCGAGGAACACCGTGGTGTTCGGGATTCCGGCCAACAGAGTTTCGATGTGGCGCTGGAATATGGCAGGACCACTGCTGATTCCATATACCAATCTGGTTGCCGAGAAGAGTCCTTTGTGTGTGTTCACTGCTGTGTATTTCTGGCTAGACTCGGACAGCGGGCAGGGTTGTATACGACTCAATCAATAGCAATCAATTCAATCACGACAAATTTGGGAAACCAATCAAATCAATCAAGTCAGAGCAGTTTTCGGGAATTGATTCAATCGACTCAAACGCGACAATGAAAGGAATCAATCAACTCAATCAAACGACTCAAACCAAGATATACATTAGGTTTTTTGCCCCACCAACTTGGAAAAGTGTCCATAGCAGTCTGGTGTACCTACCTACCTACCTACCTACAGAAGAAACAAAAATATTGTCATTTAAAATTATAAATTGCCATGCCATTCAAAGTTTCTATGTAATAAGGAAGGATACCTAGTGATGGACAGGTGGATCATGATATTGAGGTTCAATGGGTAGAATTGGAGCAGAAGTTTCATTTAATGGGTGCAAAATAACCCAGTAGTTGACTTCAACAAACGCCCCTTAACCCAAATCACCACCTTTCACCTAAAAGTTGTCAATTTAATTTTGGCCATATTCCAGCTAAGTCATCAGGCCATCTACCCCATGTAAAGCCCCCGTCTGTCTCTTATGTGAGTTATGCGGAGCTCTTCTGAATTGAACCCTGAACATAATGAACCTAGCTAGGTTACATGCCACACTGACACCATATTGATATGAAAGTGTTGAAAATGTGCTATAAATTTGACAACTTCATTAGGTATGCTTTATGAAGACATCAGGAAAGCAGGTAGGTACCTACTTACCTGCCTAGATGTGTCACTGGCTACCAACAGTACCAACGAAGGTAGATAGGTTATATGTGAAGAATTCAAAACATTTTATTGCAATACAATTTGAAACTGTTAGGACTGGGGGATAGGGATGAGCATTAAAAATTTATTTAAAAGGAAATGTTGTTGTTGTTGTTGAAGAGTTAGGGCGCGCAGCAGCTTGGCTCAAGCGTCCAACTTCCAAGTTGGTATGTCCTCTTGTAGTCTTCAGAGTTGCAGTTGGCGTATGGTTGTGGTACTAAGCGGAACTAAGCAGGTTTCCGGGTAGGGATGAGGAATGACTGGGGAGAGGAAAAATTGCGATGGTTAGGAGATAGCCTTGGTAGGATATGTCCTGGGCGAGGAGAGAACAGAGAAGTTAATGTTAGTTGTGAATACTACAATGCTACTTACAGTCTTAGCTACTTGGGGATAGCCAAACAGCTCGGTAAGCAGGAAGAGCAATACAGCTCATTCTTCAAGGGGGCAAAAGGCGCTCTGGGAGAAGGCATGGTTCTATCTAGAAAGAAAAAAGAAAAAAAAGACACAAAACTTGGGTCTTGACGTGGGGGTTACACGATACTTAGGGATTTCACTTCACAGTATGGGGGTGACATAGAAACACATAACATACCCAACCAATTTCAAACATTTCAGACAGGTGTTCTTACAACGTGACCATGGATGAAGTACCTATTGCTAAACCATGAATGCATGAGCTCGAGTAGTAATCCACTCTTTTTAACTAGAAATACCTAATCCATGGTTCTTGGATTCAACATAACATGAAGGATTGTGTCGAGCTTATCTGAAGCCATAGCACATATGGAAACAAAATACATTTCATTATCATCACTTAGCACCCATAACGCCTCTACGTCCTTTGTTCAGAGTTTGTCGTATAAGTTGCACTGTCGAAGATAATCGAACACTGCATCCACCACCGTGGGTTCACCGTTTCCCAGGAGAATCCCCAGCGACATGCGGACGCCGACATCTCGACACGCCGCTGCGAGTCTCCTCCTCGCTACAGTGTACTTTCGGCATTCTAACAGTATGTGTTGAACATCTTGGCGACATTGACACAGTTCACAGACAATAGGCGGTAGTTGGTCAATAACATGCGAGTGAGTTAAAATAGTGTGTCCGAGTCTCATCCTACACAAAACCACTTCCTCCTTTCGACTGGCACGTACACTAGAATTCCAATGTCCTATATCTGTCTTAATCTGCTTCAGTAGAGTTGGACGATAATCTGACCACAGATTTTCAAATAACACACGGACGCGACTCTTCACCAGTGGCACAAATTCCCGATGTCCTATTTTTACATCAGTCACATTAGGTTTATCATGAGCCTTTCCCGCCCAGTAGTCAGCTCTGACATTACCAGCTATGCCACTATGTCCTGGAACCCAGACAACGATGCAATCGATGCCATCTCGTACATTTTTATGATTTATCTCTAGGATCTCCACCAAGACCGGATGATCACGGCTCTGCACTGTGAGAGCCTTGATAACCGCTTGGGAGTCACAGCATATGAGCGCTTTGGGTACTTGGTTACGTCGCACAAACTTCATCGCTTCTCTTACAGCTACCAGTTCAGCGGTATACACAGATAACCCATCACGCAGCTTATGTGAGAAAAAGGCACTGTTCACTGTGAAAGCACATGCTACTGAGTTGTTCCGCTTGGAACCGTCAGTGTACATTTTCCTATGGTCCGGGTATTTGTCCATCAGGTCGTGAAAAGCAGTCAATATATCTGTCTCAGTCATATGTCTTTTGTCTTGAGAGATGAGCATCTGTGTGGGGACGGTGTGCAACACCCATGGTGCTGTAATACCATTTTCCTTAGACAATATGTCGGGAGGATTATAGTCTATTTCGGTAAAAAGCTTTCGCAGTCGTAGTGATACTGGGAGACCCGATATCCTCCGCAAGTAGCGGTCGGAGAGATCTTCATATAGTTCATAAGCGTCTAAATCCATTATGTGGTAGCAGGGGTGGTTGTGATCACTTTTTACTTTCAGGTAGTACCGGGCTAGTAAGTCTCGGCGTCTAATGCTGAGGGGTTCCACGTTCGTGTCCACTTGTAATGCTCTTACAGGGGAAGTCCGCAAGGCACCAGTGGCAATGCGGAGTGCCGTGTTCTGAATAGTCTCAAGGGACTCCACAAGCCGAGTCCCTGGCCCATCCAAAATAAAAGATGAATAGTCGAGTATTGGTCGGATCAGGGATTTATACATGCGTAATAACACAGTTCTGTCGGCACCGTAGCTTTTTCCGGCAATGCTTTTCAGTATCGACATTCGTTTCTGAGCTCTTCCTTTAACATATTCTATGTGCCCATTTAAGCTCAGTTTCGAATCAAGTAAGACGCCTAGATAACGGACCTGGTCCACAATACAAATAGGGTGACCGTTGAGTTTGAGAGTAGGTAGTTGGTTCTGGTTCACTCGTTTTAAACCTCTTCTAAACAAAACGGCGTTAGTCTTCATGGGGGAAAATACAAAACCGTTCCGCTCTGACCACTGTCCTATTCTGGTTAAAGCGTTTTGGATTTTCTGAAATATAAGTGGGATATCTTTTCCCTGCGCCCAGATAGTGCAATCGTCTGCGTATATAGCAGCAGAGACCTCTCTTGGTATTGCGTCAATCAAAGAGTCAATCACAATATTAAAAAGCAATGGAGAGATCACCCCTCCTTGGACAACGCCATATTCCTGCTCAAACGTATCTGATACCTCTCCGCACCTCACTTGGAATGTCCTATTTTGCAAGTAGCCTCGAATGAAATGCATGATATGGCCCCGGAAGCCGATATCATACATTCTATTCAACAAAACCGTTGGGGAGACCATGTTATATGCTGACTTAATGTCTAGGAACACACCGAGGGTGGAACAGTGGTGAAGGAATCCTTCCCGTATGTGCGAATCAAGTCTCACTAGGTGGTCCCCAGTAGACTTTCCTGATCGGAACGCACATTGATATGTCGATATAAGGTCATATTTCTCAAGGTACCATGACAGTCTCTTACCAATCATCCTCTCTAGTAATTTGCACATACAAGAGGTAAGTTGGATAGGCCTGTACGATTGCATTTGGTTGCGGTCTTTCCCTGGCTTAAGGATGGGTATGATGTAAGAATGTCTCCATGCGTCGGGGAACACGTCATTCACCCATACATAATTATAAAAACGAAGCAGTTCAATCAGCTGTGTCTCATGCATATGTCGGAAGAAATCATAGTGAACCTTGTCCGGCCCGATGGATGTAGAGCCAGATCGTTTAATAGCGTCAGTAAGTTCTCTCATTGTAAATTCTTTGTTGTAATCCTCGTAGTTCTCATCCCCAAATTCAGGTAAGTTTTCTGCTAATTCACGTTCCCAGTCAAGAAAGGCTTGGGGGTAGTTCGATCTCGAGCTCATATTCGAGAAATACCTCCCGAAGTGATTTGCCACCTCAGTAGGGTCGTCAATAATCTCGTTATTATGCATAATAACTGGGAGAGGTCTCATGTATCGATGCTTCTGCGAGAACTTACGGATTATATCCCACAGTTTCCCCATCGGGGTTCTGTGGTTAAACACTGATAGCAGCTCCTGCCATGAGCGGATCTGTGCATCTCTAATAGTCCGTCGTGTCTTAGCCTTCGCTTTCCTATACTCAATTCGTAGGAATTGGGAATGAGGGTCTCTCCTCATTCTGTTATGAGCTCTCCTTCTAGTCAGAATTGCGTTCCTGCAGTCATCCGTCCACCACGGACACGAGTATTTGGTGTTACCATTTCGGGTGGGTATAAACTTCTGGGCAGTGTCAATAATAGTTTGAGTTATTTCATCACAGTTCTCCAGTCCAAGGTTAGGATTGAATTTGAAATCACATTTCATTTCAAATTCCGTCCAGTTAGCTTTCCTCGTGTTCCATCCATAAAAAACAGGGGGCAAGTTCGTGTAGGCAGTAGGATTACCGACATCTATACGTATGGGGTAGTGGTCACTGGCATATAGGTCTTTTTCAGTGTCCCATTCAAGTATGTGAGAGATATCGTTTGATACCACTGTCAAATCGATATGGGACGTATCTCCTGTGGATTCATCCAGTCTAGTTGGCTGTCCATCATTCAAAACATGTAGGTTATGATGGTTGACAACATCCATCCAGATGCAACCCCGTCTGTCACATTGCGCAGCTCCCCACATGAAATGTTTGCTGTTTGCATCTGTACATATTACAAATGGTTTAGGGAGTTGCTGGATTAATAGGGATATATCCTGAAATGAGAAGTTGTCAGTTGGGGGCAAGTACAATGAACAGAATGTAATTCTTACCCTCTGTAGCCTTACGGAGCAGGCTACCACCTGTAAATTGCTCTGTATAGGTAATACCATGTGCGGCAGGCGATTTGATACATATATCGATACACCTCCTCTCCTGTCACCTTGAGGTGAGTATGCGTTGCATAAAGAATAATGTGGTAAGTCAAAACAATATCTGTCATTGGCCATAAAGTGAGATTCCTGAATACAGATCACCTGGTAATTACCGTCCAAGAACATTTGTTTGGCTTCTGCCCACTTTCCGATCAGTCCTCTGGCATTCCATTGTAGGACCCTTGTCAGAGTTTCTTAGTCGAGCCAGAACACAATTCACCACTCATAAGTTCCCACTCCTTGGGAATAATTGGGCTGGCTGCTACTATCTGGTTCGTATCAGTCATGATGCTGATATTGTACCATTTTCCATAGGAAACAAAATAGCTGATCATCAACCACCTCAGCTTGTGTGGTTGTTTGATCAGCACATGTAAGTTAACAAACCGAAATACAAGTAGAAATAAAGACGTCTTGATTCTACGTTAAAAAAAAGAAGAAAAAAAAGAGTTTTGTGTTTTAGTGCTAAAAGTTACTTTAGGGTTTGGGTTTCCTGGTCAGGCTGGGCATTCGCCTGTCCCTTCCAGGTCTCCCTCCTTGACGTTTTTTGCCAAGCTCAGGGGATGGCGA